CTTTAATGACAATGGTAACAAGTACTCAGAACATGTGCAGTATTTTGATAGTTCTACGTATAAATGCAATTAATGTGAAAATATCTAACTTTAAATTTGTTCTCATTCGATAATAGAGTAATCTCTAGTAAACATTTTGCTATCTGATCACAATGGAAATTTTGGGTTAAACATGGCTCTCAATCAACGTTTCATTTTAATATCTCGTTGAAAACATGACGTTACTTTTTTAAAAAAATATATTAATTTTCTTGTTGTATGGCAAAGAAAATGATAAATATACTTGATTAAAGGTGAAAATGTTTGTTGCAAAAGATTAATGCAACACTCTTGCCTTGATTAAATAAAGTCCAAAACAAATGTCCTATGACGTTAGGAAAAACAAAATTGACTTACGAAGGGCAGCTGGGCGTGACCCAGTGACTAGTGTTCCAGGCTAAGGATTGGAACGGTGGAGGTTTCTGCTGTGATGATCCACACTTTCAGCTGTGTGTGTGTATATATACGCTATAAAAGTGACAGCCAATCCCATTATTTGGTTCAAGTCAGACAAAGTCTTTGTCGTAGTGAATGCCTCTGACACTACCTTCTCTTTATTCAGAAGTTCAAAGTTCGAGGGGTGGGTGTGACTTAGTAGTTAGAATGGTTAACTGTGAATCCAAGGACCTATAGTTTGAGTCTCACTGCTATTAGATTGACTTTTGCACTTTGAGGTGTAAGTGTGTTATAAGAATGACAGTTAAATCACTATTTGATTAGGGAAAGCTAGTGCAGATGGTCTCTGTGTAGCTTTGTGCAAATATCTAAAATTAACAAACATTTTGATTAGAGAACGATATACCTGAACTATAGGCTTCCTGGTCTTCCTCTTTAGCTTTTGTTTTGTCGTTTTTAAGAAGAAAAAACTACATAAAGTGCTATTTGCGCTTTTCGACTACAGAGTCAAGAGTTGAATTTTGTTGTTATAAGGCCTCAAGCTTACTGCTGAGCCACCAAGGGGCGGCTGCTTAGTCTATATGTATATGTGGTATTCTCAGGTGCATTGAGTTACCTTAAGAGTAATTGGATAGGTTCTTCAGAATAACAAAAAGACCAACAGAAAACGAATCAAGAAGTAAATCTGAATTATTCGACCTTGACTGAGGTCAAAGCAAAGAAAAAAATGGATACAGTGTAAAACACAATGAAACAATCTTTATTCAATATAAAAACAAAAAAAAATCAAGAGAAGTGTGCTTTTATGGCACCATTACTCGAGATAGATCTCAGTGAAGTAGAAGTATATTTCTTTTAAGTATTTCTCAAGAATCACTTCGTAATCTGTTCCAGACTGAAAAAACATAGCAATAATGCTATTCTTCTCATAAAATGTGACTATTGGTCATTCACATTGAAATATAAGGGAGGTTTTTACCTCAAAGTATCACCTGACCTGCCAGTGGAAAAATCACTGTCCATTTCTACATAGCCTATTTCACTTTGCAGAAATCTCACAGAAAGTGCATGTGATACCCTTGGCAAATTACCTAGTTCAATAGCTAGCTAGTGGGAAGGGAACTTTGCAACTTTTTTAAATGACATTCTATGTTAAAACTAGATATGTAATATGTTCTAAAAATTTTATATTAAATAAAAGGGTAGCGAACATGTAGCATACTTGCATACTACACACATAAAGCACCGTTTAGGTTGAAAATACCAATACTTATAAATACTTGGCGTCATTAACGTTATCACTTCTTTACTTTTAGTAACAGAAATACAAAATATAATTGTTTTTATTTTACCTTTTCTAAAAGAATATCTTTGTTTCGGATTAATAATAATAATAGTAATAATTCCTAAGGATTTCACCTTATAGACTGGGAATTAAACCAATACAAAAGTTTACTGATTTAAAAAGACAGTGTCTTTACCAGCCATAATGTACAGAGGTCGAGCACATTGTACTGAAATGATTCTACAGTAAATATATTCATAATACCACATAGCATTACCTATTTTCTATAAAAACAATGAGTATAAGTGACATGTTTTAGTGACATGTATATATATATTCCCGAGTATCTATCACAAAAGTTCTGTTCAAAGATGGCATTATATGTAAATATATATATATATATGTGTGTGTGTTTAATTTGTTTGTGCTCTGCCCACCACGGGTATCGAAAACCGGTTTCTAGCGTTGTAAGTCCGCAGACGTACCGCTGTGCCGACCGGGGGGGGGGGGGCTACATATTTAATATCGGTGCATTATTAGATTATTTCATTTATACCATTATAACTATCATGCTAAAGTAAATTAGTTTGTGCACCTTGCATATAATTATACTTAATATGTGTACGGTATATTAACATATTAGTTCACAATCATCAGATTTAGTAAGCTGTGTAAAGTAGCTTTACTAAATTTACTAGACAAATCGTTGTTTTACAATAAGCATGCTAACATATACTTAAAACAAGAAACAAAGTGGTGCACACATGTAACAAATTTAAAACTGCGTATCTCATCAGTTCAACATTACTTACATTTCATCTGTAGGAACGTAGTCCTATACATTTAGAAGTCTCATTTGGTGTAGCCCACCAGTGGCACAGCGGTATGTCTGCGGACTTACAACGCTAGAAACCGGTTTTCGATACCCGTGGTGGGCAGAGCACAGATAGCCCATTGTGTAGTTTTGTGCTTGACTTTAAACAAACTGTTACGATAGCGGAAGTCACGTGACGCTGCTGGCGCATTGGCACTGGTGGCGTGTGCAAGGAGTTTCTCGAATGATCATGAATTTCCTAGTGCGTTCGAGACGCCCTCTTCTTTAGTATATAAGTCTGGCAGAGAAGCCAGATATAGATAATTAAAGAAACAAACAGTAGTAACTATAAATAAAGTGATTTATAGCGTGTATTACAAAAGTTGTTAAGGTTAAAGTGACGAGAAAACGTACTGACTGTGGAAATTTTGTGTGCTAAAAGTTTGTATCGAGGAAAAATAAACTGGTTTAATTAAGAAAGGTCTTGTATCGTTGAAGTTCCTCGGAAAGAATTTATACCGGAAATTAACAAACAAGCAGATACGCAACAAACTGGTGTCAGAGAGTGGGACGGAAAAGAAAAGAAGATGGAAACGAGAGGTGGCAAATCAAACTAAAACTTTACAGATTTGATGGCAGCAATACAAGAACAGCAAAGGAAACAAAAAGAGAGACAGCAGCAGTGGCAAGAAATCCTGCAACAGTTGCAGCTCGAACAGCAAAAGAAACAAAAAAGAGAGACAGCAGCAGTGGCAAGAAATCCTGCAACAGTTGCAGCTCGAACAGCAAAATAAACAAGAGAGATTACAGCAGTTGTAAAATAAACTGGTTTAATTAAGAAAGGACTTGTATCGCTGAAGTTCCTCGGAAATAATTTATACCAGAAATTAACAAAAAAAGCAAATGCGCAACAAAACATTTGGTGTAAGTATAAACCACATGTGCAAAGTTATTCAACAAAAACCGCTGAAATTTGACCAAAATTTTGCGCTCGCCTTCGCAAAAGTCACGTCAGTTATCGGTTTAACATTTTTTACTACAGATCACCTGAGAGTAAAAGTGGACTAATTTAGTTTTTGTCATTAGGATTAAAGATGGCTGATTTAGAGCAGCAAAACTATAAGGTGAAAGTACGTGCAGATACATAAGTATTGGTTAGGCCAAGCAAACTAGATTAACAGTTTCTAGTTAAAGATTTCAAAATAATCGTACGGGTGGATGGTTATTATTCATTGCTAACTTTTCAGCACAAATTTACTAAATTTTTTGACATTATCCTAATTAAAGAACGTTTAGCGTTACGTGATATTACCTTAAGCAATTAGCATAAATAACGATGCTTGATTTGGCTGTACCGATTGCATGGGGTGATGACAAGAAACTGTTAATCTAAATTCCATGGCGTTATTATAAAGGAAGCTATTACACTATTTTAGAGAAGAAAAACTACCACCATATATTTTAAAGAATATGGTTGTTTATGTAAAGTAAAGGTCTGTTCCGAATAATAGGGTTGCGACCCTAAAGCGAATGTGGGTTGCTATCGAGTGTCACTTTCTTACTTGCTGTGTTTTGTTGGTGTGCATTAACAAAGAGTTATGATATCTAATCAAAAACACCTTAGGTGTGAAATAAAGGTGCGGCCAAAAAAGAATTAAGTGTGCGACTTAAAGGAATGAAATCAAAATTGGCGGCCAAATACTTATAGCATTGATTAGAATTTTATAGCAAATACTCATTCATTAGTTATCTAGGAACTGTTTGTGAAGTGTAAGAGAAGTGGCAAAAAAGCACTAAATGCTACAATTATTACATATATGGGCATGGCCTTTAAAAAGGAAGAAAGACCAGTGTAATAACCCGCGAAGTGTATAAACCACGATCCCATAGTGTAAATCATCTAGCATTAGGAGAAAATAAATATACCGTCAAGGAGGGAGGAAGAAGTCTTCATATCACCTGACCCTCCAAGGTCGCATAAACACGACCGAACACAAATAAGTCGAATTGTACTCAGTGCAGATCGGTGCCGCTGGTAAAGATAATCAATCAATAATAAACTCATTTTGATAAAAAGTTTAGAAAAGCGACCTTTATACTCCAGATATAAATAATATATATATATATATATATTTTAACCAACGTTCCGCCTTTGCGGCTTCATTAGGGTCAATAAACACAATTTAGTATAATAGTCGTGTATATTAAGACTGATGAAGCCGCAAAGGCGAAACGTTGGTTAAAATTAAAAAAAAAAACTTCTTTTATATATATATCTAGAGTATAAAGGTCATTTTTCCTAAACTTTTTATCAAAATGTATAAATCTCTTCAGTATGCACTACAAATTTTGAAAGACAACAACAAACTTCTGTCATCTTTCATAAAATGTTTGTGTCGAAACATTTTAGTCTAATAGATTTTTTGTAACTATTTAGTTGAATTTGAAGTAATTTGTTTATAACGATAGCACCAGGTGGAAGAAGTGTTGGGTTGCATAACTTGTATAATTACCATTATATGATCTTGTTACAATTTGTGTATCTTAGGTAAGATGTGAAAAATTACAGTTTTGAGTAATATTTTATGACTCGTACTTTAAATTTAAGTTCATCGTTGAATTTAGGTTAATAAAACTAAGGATTCTATTATTATACTTTGTTACTATTAATTTATTATTGCAGAATATATTATTTAATACCATTACGGCATTAGCATCAAGGGTGTGGTGACATCGTATTCCTAATCCTAAGACTTAAAGTAAGAGTAAGACTTTTTTAAACTTTCAATTTAAAAAAAATCTTTCAATGGCAGTAGAAATAGTAATGTACTTTGTAGGAACGATGTCCGGCATTTAGTTGTTTTTTCAGGAAATCTTTAGGAATATGTATTATTTCATGAGGAATTTGGAGATGTGCATCAATTTATTATTAAGTAATATTCAAAGAAGTTGCGATTGGTTTTTATCAGTACATTTCGGTGATTTTTTTACCCTAATTCAAACAGTGGTCATGTAACTTTTACTTGGTACATTATCTGTCTGGCTCTTTGTCTCAGCAGTTCCTCATAGGTTTCACCGGACATTCAGAACTGTTGAGACAGATATGAAGTTAGATTCAATGATAACATGCATATGTAAAGTAGCAAAATGTCTGAGGTCTTAGAAGTTTAGCAGGTGTGGATATGATCACAATTGCACAACAGTTGCTTAAAACATTATTTGTAAGAGGGGTCAGAAAAGCTTTGATGGAGGTCATGCTGATAAGTGTGTAAAGAAAAGTATGTTTGCCTACAGGAGTGGTAAACTTGTGTATGTATCCAATGATTTGCTTTAAAATGGGGATGAGAGCAGAAAGAAGAGAATGATTCAAGATGAGGTAAGGAACTTGGAATGCAAAGACTTCTTCTCAGTGAAGGACAAAAATATTACAAGGTAAAGAAGAGAGTGTAGTACTAAAATAATGGTGAAATAGCATGATCATATTATGGGGGTGGTGGTGGTACACTTTGTTAGAATTGAAAAAACAGTCACTTCTCAGATCAAAGAAAACAACATGGAAAAATGATCCTTGGATCATGTCAAGATTTCTGAATCTGATGGGATACCTCACCACCTACCACAATAGTCATATTTACTGCTGCTGAAGCTAAGGTTGTTTTTTAAATTGTCAGTTGTGATGTCTACTTTTTTATCAATTGAATGATAGGTTGATACCATAGGCACCTAAAATTAATGTTTTGTTCATTAACATTTTAACACACACACAGATGTTAAGTCTTATTAAGAATTTTTGTCTTAAGATGTATTTGAAGTCAGAAAAGAGGATTTGCCAAGATTTCATTTTCAGATGTTATTTTTTTGAAAAATCTTACTTCCTGTTTTGTCATGCCAGTTTTGAGTTTACAAGATACATGTCATTGCTGTTACAAAGAGTAATACAGGAACATATGCTTTAAATTTTAAGATATCAGTGACTTAATGTCTTAGGACTATTGTCTGGCAACATCCCCTGGTTATTGTTATTTACACATCATTACTGTAAATTGTAATCTGTTGAACCAAAAATAATAAGGATGTCTTCTAAGTATAGTGGTGGTTTGATATCATATTTATGAAACAGAAACTGGATATTCACCAATAAATGGTGATAGGGGTAAATTATAAGATTAAAAGGAAAATCAATTTTTAAAACTTAGTGACTTGTGATGTGATGATACGAACTTTGTAAAGGTAAAAAGCCAAAGCTTTTTTTTTTTATATATTATTCTTACTGGAAGAAAATAATGAAATTAGCACTGGGAACCATACTTTTTAACTAATAATGATAATATGATGTTAGTTAGATTATTCATATATGTAAACTTAGTTCACTGCCAGCCAATATTCACTTCACTTAATAAAATCGGAGATATAGTGAAAGTCCATTCAGCACAACAGTATCATTCCTTATGCAAAAAGATTAGGATAAATATTAATCCAAATTAAGTGTAGCTCTTAACATCCATATCTCCATCCAACAAACTTGAAATAACTCTGACTGGAAGCACTAATTACATCATCAAATCATATCTAAATCTTAGAACTAATTGAAAAGAAATTTTGTCAAAGAATAATCTTGCACCAGGCTTTTAAAACTTAAATCTGTTACTTCAAACATTATATTTCCACAGGAAAACTATTCAAAACCTTCAACTTTTTGAACATCTGAATCCTTATGTTTCTTAAAGAAAATGTTTCTTCTTAGAGCCTAACTGAAACTAAATCTGTGTAATATTGTGTAGTAGCCAGCTTCTGATCTGAGGTTTGATTCTTCGTGGTGGATACAGCAAATAGCCCAATGTGGCTTTTTTTTTGTGCTGAGAAATTTATAATTCCCATCTGAAAAGAGTGAAAAAATCATCTTGTTTTTTTTCATTGCACGTATCAGAAAATTGTAGGGGTTTCATTGACAACTTAATTTAAATCTTTTTCTTTGCTGAGACATCAATGTTCTCACACAAGAAAGAAATCCATTCCAAATTCACATAATGTGTATATGTATAACTTCACACTTCAATATTTCAAAACAACTCATCTTCACTTATCTGATCACCTAAACAGTTAATGCCTTTTCGTTTCTTCAAAGAATATCATATAATTTGGAAATAGTACTGTCCAATTTTTCCTAAATATAAATAATAAACAAAAGTCTCAAACGTGAGCTCTGAAAAACCCCACTAATCACTCTTCCAATCGGAAAGAAAGCCCAATTAAAACAACTCTTTGCTTTCTACCACTAAGCCAGTTTTTAAACTTCTGAACTTTTTGTTGATTTTACAAGTATGTACCTTGTTACTTAAAAAATTTATATTTTTGCACTTTATTAAAAACTATGAAAATCAATATGCACAACAAATAGTCTGTCCTCTTCCAAAAAGGCTGAAGCCCAATTAAAGAGAAGGAAATTTTTCTAAAATTATGCTGAAAATTGTTGATTAAAAGCTCTCCTTCCAAATGCTTAAATATATTACTTCTGACAACATTTTAACACATTGTAAACAAGACAAGTGACACTAGCAGACTTAAGTTTCCCAAATTCTTCATAGAGTTTTTTAGTTAGAAGTTACATTAGTGATCTTATAATCATCAGGAGTTTCTCTGGTATCAAGAGATTTCTGAAAAAACAAGTGAAAGCCCTCCCTAACTCCTCAGTAAAGTTATTCAATATTCTATGATAAATCTGTTTGTGTAGGAACTTCACAATCTTTCAGAACAACTCCTGTCCAGTATAAATAGAATTTGAGGGGAAAAATTCCTCCATTGTATCAGAAAAAGTTTTTGAGTACTTTTAACCATGAAAATGTTTAAGAAATCTGGTGTTATCCCTAGTTCATTTAGTAGCTAACTTAAGCATAAAACCACATTTAACTTTGTAGCAATGACTTTTGATTTAACTATATATTGTAACTATCTTGAATAACTTTGTTTATTTGTATAAGTCACAGCATCATTTGTTTTACTAGTCAATCTCATATTATTGCAAACTGTTTTTCATTTTCAAGTAGTTTAATTTATATTTTATGACTAGGCCTTTGGTTGAAATGCAAGCACTTCATAGGAATACCTTGCTTTTGAGCTAGTTGGATCAACCTAAAAAAATAGTCTATGCTCTATAAATATTCTCCATGTGTACATGTGTCTCCACAATCTTCTCAAAATACTATAGCTACAAGAAGTCAACTTTTCAAAAACAGCATTTTCTCTAGTATCATATTTTACTTGTGCAATAAAACAATCCACTAAAATTTCAGTAAATTCTTAAGCCTTATAAAAAGAAGACAGTCTAATCCAAACTAGTCTTTCAAAATAATGAGTCTGTTTTTATTAGCAGCGCTTTTAGTCTGTCTGCACATAATCCTCTCAGTTTCAACAACCTGATCAGGTGGCCTATGTTAGATGTAGATAAGCATCTTATTCCTTCCTTTCAGGAGCCTTAAACTAAATACTCCACATTTTTCTAGCTTCACCAATATAATTTTGTAAGTTTGCAACTTCCATCTTACTTGTAAAATCACTGATCCTCTCTTATATTAAGTTCATATCTAATAATACAAATGACATGTAACAAGCTAACAGCCGTTAAAGATTTTAATTGTAGTATATTAATGCAAAGACTTCTACACTGGATGGCCAGTTTATTAAGAACTCTTCCTGATATGGGAATGGGTTATCTTCTCCATAAGAATAGCCTTGACTCTGCAAGTTGCCAGAGATTGGTTGGTTTTATTGTAATCCAGTTGATGAGGGGTATGGTCTGTCACTGGCTTATAGATGTCCACAGAAGTTTATGGTGGTAAATACAGTGTTCAAGTACATTCAAAAAAATGTTCCATCATATTGAAGTCCACCAGTTCTAGCGGCAAAACTAGGTGACTGAAGTCACTGGTACTAGCATGATTTTCACAATGTACATATGACAATTATTTTTATTCTTGTCTTGGAAAAGCCTTTATCACTGTCCTGTCAAGAGAATGTTCCCAAAATCATCCTTCAACTTGTCGGAACATACAAGTATGTGATTGTTTCAAGAGACATATTCATATCTGGACCAATCATTAAATTAGAGAACAGTACAGTTAAGAGACATTGTGAGAATAAACAGTGACAATTCAAATATTTCTACAGTTGCAGTGCGTAGACTTTAATTGGAACATTTAAGTGCTTCTGTGAAATGTATTAGTTCTTGAAGTTATGTTTTTATCTTTATTTTTGCTTTATTGTTCTTAATTTTTCATATAAATGTTTCTTATATTATGTCATTAATCTGTTATTGATAGTGATTTTATCTTTTATTTGTATCAAATACAATTAAATTAGCAACAACTATATTTAATTTTTATTTCATCAATAGCAAATACTATTCTAATAAAATTTAAAAAAAATTAAAAATGCAGAAGAGACAAAAAGTATTTCAAGGAAAGAGAAATAACTCTAGTTCAAAAGTTTCTGAAACAACCACCACACTAAACAGGTCATTTTTGACAGTTCCAAAGGTAACCAATTTAGAGGAGTTTCACTGTATTATCTTATCTTGTATTAATTTGATTTCTTTTCACAATCAGACCATGAGATTTGGGACATGTTCCACAAATTTATATGGTTTCCTTAACAGGATCATTCCCCATTGTGACAGGATTTTGACAGAATCTGATATTCAGGGTTTTCTTAAAAAAACAACATGAAAAGACAAATAAAATTATAATATTAATACTTTCAATTAATTCAGTTTTTTAAATCTTATTGAATTAGAAATCTCACATCCTTATTTCTGAAGCCTCCTGAGGTACAGACATTCCTCCTTAGGAGCAGCCTTATTCTATTTAAATGGAGACTGGAGGTACTCTGATGGTGAGTGGTGATATTACTGCTATTGTACATCAAGTGATTGATTCTATCCTACCTTCTTCTTCATGGACCCAGGACACTCAGTCTTCTGCCTCTGAAACTTTTGCTGAGCATGCCTTGTCTTTGGACATCTCTGACTAGCTCTTTCCACAACTGCATTTACTTCTGGTTCTTCTATTCCTGATGAGTATTAGGTAACACCCACTTTTGTTCTTCACCACTCTGATAACTCAGGTATGTGACTTTTTTTTCTCTTTCTTCAATTTTTCTGCTCGTTCTTGGACAAACTCTTTATACACACCTGAACACTGATTTTTTTTCCTCCTCCTCTTCCCTTGCCTAAGTTTTGCATCATTGCATATTATTTTCTGTCTTATCTTCATGTCTGCTTTCAGTTGCCACATCTTCCCAAAACATGACTTCTTTTCTGTGGCCTTTGGTTGGAATTCTTCCTCCTTCTAAGTCTTCATTCCCTTGAATCTCTTCTTCCAGCTTTGATATCTCCTACTTTTACCGTCCTTTCCTCTTGGTTTCATCTTTTGTATGTTCAACTTCTTAGTTATCTATCCTCTTAACCCCTTCTTTCTGAGGCTCTGCATTGCAACCCCAACATCTTTGCTGGAATGGTTGCACCTACTTGTTTTCCATCCTGCCGCAACACGTGTAACACATTTTCTCTCTGGAAAACAAGATGCTCTTTCTTGGGCTGGGTCTATCTGATTACTGACACTGTACCAGTGCTGTGCTAGAACTATGGACATTTGTTTATTCAGCTCCCATCTGGAATGGTCATTGGCATGGTAGCAGATGCAGAAATGATACAAACAAGCCAATAAGCTAGTTTTGCAACCACTATACTGCATCTGAGAACAAATGCAGAGCTTCCAAATTGTGTGAATTCTTTAGTTGCAGCTATGCTAATAAATTATACACAGAAACGTGAACTCGGAGAACTACTCAAGGAGTTTGTTGGCATGTTTGTGTCAAACATTTACGTCATTATTAGACACAGGTGATGTGTCTGATAAACTGCTATTCAGGCTCCGGTGGAGCATCAGGGATGTTATGAAACAGGATAACAGCTTTGGAGAGTGCTTGATAATCTCCATTAGTGATCATGAAAAAGAAGAGAGTCATGGTTTGGTGTGGACTCTAGATAGCTGAATATAGTAATGCACATTGGTGCCTTTCTGTCACTGTGCACAGATGAATGTGTGAAATGTACTGGAAAGAATCCATTGCTTTTGTGCATTATATCTGGCTTATGGTTACTAGCAACTTTAACTAAGTGATGAAGTAGAAGTAAGATTACTTTAAGCATTTGGGAAGGACTATATGGATTTGTACCACTTGTGAGAAGCTGATGGAACTCTGCATTTTAAATAATGTGGCAATGGCAAGTAAAGTTATGTATATAAGCTTGTTGTACTCACTCACTTGCAAATGCTATTGTCAGGAGCTAGCATAGTCAGAGATTTGGCTAATGCAGCATCTATATTACATCCTGTCCAGAAGACAATTCCCCAGAAAGAGTCAAATAATGGCTGACTGATCATGACATTAAAACATGCATTGCTTGCTGGTCTTTTTACTTATTTTACTCAGTTTTCATCCTGATTTGTTGATGAAGTCAGACATGTGAATGCCATTTATTTGTATGTTTTCAATTTGACATCAACTGTGGTTTTATTATTACTAATATTTTGTATTTGAATTTGCTTTTATTCTTTTTTGTGTTTTATAGTTCTTATTACATGTGGTCTTGTTTTTGGTCTGAATATGTTCAGTTTACTTTCATCTTTATTTTGTGTCACATTTTGTTAAGCTTTAATTTTGAAATGCAATGAAACTGGTTTGTATTATACCTTTATTTCATTATGGTTTATTTTGATTTTTGTTTATGATGTGAATTTTTGTAATTTTGGTTGATTTTATTTTAACTTTGTTTTGAGTTTTATTTAAGTTTTCATTGGAACCTTTGTTAAGCTTACTCTTTGTTGTCACGGTATACCTGTCATTGCATCATGTGTGTGTGATCTAGAGACAGTTACTGGAACTAATGGCCTTACAGTTAGCTTATTATTTGACTTTTAACATTATTTTAAAGTTTAGCCTAGAAAGACCCTTAAATAGGAGGTAGTGTGATGATGTCCTTCATTCAGGTACTTTTGTAAGTTTTCATGCAGGTGTTCTGCATGAAGTTAGTGACATACATTCATATAAGGTGGTTGTGAGAGGATCATAAACTTGTAATAGTAATATAATTTGAACAAAGGTAACAGTAAAATACAGTGTATTACTACATTTTTTCCACAGATGGTATAAAGACTTGTACAAGTTACACGAGACAATGTTTTTCTTTGTTGAATAAGTTTAATGGGAATAATCATTTATGTAGTTAGTGTACATACTGCATAAGGACTTTGGTCTGACTTAACATCACAGTAATTTATTATTTTGGATTTCATTCTTGACCTGTGTGAACTTCTTTTAATTTTGATCCTCTCATTGTGAAGACATCCTTGGCTATTCTGCTCCACTAGCTAGTTGCAGTTTTCAGTCAAACATAAAACCTGGCCAGAAGCCACAATGTACACTGTATGGATAAAGATCTTGTTCTTTCCCCACTTGTGTTCATTTCTTTTTCCTATATTTTCAGTGTTCATTTTAGTTGTACTCTGCAAGACATTTCCAGAATCTGCATTTTGCAGTATTTGATACTCTTTGTTGATGAATATCAGTGTACCTACAAGAACAGTAAGTTAAATCCTGAATATTGGCAATTTTTTAAACAACACATACACATGGTAAATAACATACAATTAAAATCATTGCCTTACTTATTGCTGGTAGTTATTCAAGTGTGCATTAGTTGGGAAAGTACTTAAAGATATATTCAACAGTGATTCTTGTTCACAAGCATATCTGAGTGTAACTATCTACAAAGTAAGATAGTGCTACGCTCTTATGACACCTAGAGATGTTTACTAGTAAAAACTTTTCTTGAATGTGCTCTTGAGTATATTATCTTGAATTTTTCTTCCTTCTTTTATAGATGTGCATCTAAGCAAAAAAGAAAAAAAATGAGTTATCCATATGGGACTGGTTACCCTTCTCAACCAGGGTCGCAGGTTTGTACTATTTGTATGTTTGTTTGTACAAGTACTAGTATAGGAGCTATCAGAAAGAACAGACCACAGAAAATATGAAAATTTCATTTTAAAATTGATCTAAAGAGGATAAGAACAAACAACATGGCAGGATGTTTAGAGGTGTACATTAAGTATATGATTATTTATCCATCTTGGGTATTTTTAATCAAAGCAAGTATAAGGTCCTAATTGCACACAGTTCTGTTTGTGCGTCTTTGAAAAACAAGTTAATTTCATTTCATCACTTTTTACTGCAGTCTTTGTTTACGTCTAGTACTTGGTTGTAATAGTACCTTCCTTAAGGTTTAAAACTTGCATCATAATCTATTGATTTTGATATTCTCAATCAGAATATTCATATATTCTTTGGATTTACAATTATGTTGATGTAATTTAAATTCAGAAACCTTTATTTTGTAATGTTTCTATAAACATAGTAATTTAAAAACATGCAAATATCATAATTATATATATCCTTTAATAAGGTACAAATTTGGTGTTTCTTTATTTGTATTTTCTTTATTTTTGAAATAAAACTACTAGTTGAACTAATGAAAATAGCTATGCCTAGTTACCTTATACAGGGGGTTTTGTACATTATATTAAGATTGAGTATTTAAATCAGCAAGTCACATAATCACAGTTGATATAAAGTTATGGTGGAATAGCATGTATTTGAACTACATTTTAATATTGTTTGGTATTTTGTTGCAACCAAAAAGTAATTGCTTTTGGTAAGGATATCTAACAGCCCTTTCCCATGCAAAACATTCATACACTCAGATTGTAAAAATGTTTTCAGATGGAGGATTTTGAAATTCCAAGATTTGGATATCTCTTCTACATAATGGCATTGGAAAACAAATTAATATAGATCAACATTGGGAACTAGGACCATTCAGAAAGAGACCTGTGACAGGTCATACTGTATACATAGGGAACAAACATGTAACAGGTGAGAATCTAGGAACACGGAGATCAATGGCAAAAGCCATTCAGGTGCCCCAAGCAACAGTATGCAATATAATCAAGAATGATCTCTGTCTGGAAAAGCAAGACAAGTCACAAGTATACAAATTGCCTCCATGGCATATCAATTCTATTGTAGCATACCTCAAACAGTTGAAGATGAAATAGGTATTTATTCTATTTCATTCAAAGACATACTGGTCTAGTTACCAGAAACATTGCCAATGGATTTCTCTATGACCAGACTATTGAAACAGACAATAGGAAACTGTCATCCTCATATGCTAGTTGAATTATGGAAAGACAGCAGGAAGTAGGAGTGTGCTTTATGCATGATAACTTTATGAAAGAGCCTTTTGCAAAGGAAACTACATTGCAGGACTATTGTTATGATGTATGGTCATCAGATAGAGCATGACCCAATGACATTGACTGTAACAGTGTGGTGAGACTCAAAAAGTGTTTTAATATAAGGTACTTAATTTCTGCACTCATTACATTATGTGGTGAACTGCATCCTCAAGTATATAATGTGTATGTGATGTTATAGTTATATACTTTTAGACACTTATTGAATGTTTGTAGATGTGTAGCATACAGAGCTTGTTTAATCATTATTAATTTGGAAAAATACAATAGTTATTAAGTACCTTCTATATTTGGTTTATTTATTACACTTTTAAACACTTAGTAAAAATATGGGATTATAAAACACTAGGCCACATGATAGTGTATGAACATGAAGGCTGCTGATAAAAACACCTTAAAAGTCTGAAAATTGTTCTCTTTACTTTTAATTTAATATTAACAAGTCTAAATGTGTTTCAGAACTTTTCAGCCAACCTGTATGGCATGTAAACTGATATGTATAGAAGGAAAAATATTTGTATTAAGATCTAATATTTCTGCATACATTGCTGCTACAATTATTCAGATACACCTAAAACTTGACGTAACTTATTCAGCATGCTCTACTGGAAAATATGATGAAAATGAATACAGACACACATCAGATAGATGAGAAATATCAAGATATTTGCAAGTTTCCAAAACTTTTGTTTAGTGAATTTGGAGGAAGAGATATATCAAGCTGCTGAGAGAATGGGAAACTTAATTGTGAAGTAATGTTTGATCATTTGTAAATCTATGCTTAAGACCATATAACACCACTGGAAACTTTTAAAATATCTTCAAACTGATTGAAGGTTTTGATCCATTGTGACAACTGTTCACTTGTTAGTAGTGTTTACATGCTCCAGACATCTTTGCAACAAATTAATAATCACTTCTCTGCATCCATTATAGCCACATGCAAAGGCATCATCTATGAGGTTTGTGCCATAAATGTCTGCATTTTGGAAAATTGGAAGGGTAAGAATATGCAAAGTAAGGTTTTATCCAGAAAAAGTAAAGTCCTACAATCCACATAAATGATGTGGTGACTGGCTATTTTGGAAATATGCTGGCTGCACTTACTGTAAGTTGTTCAGCTTTGTGGTGTTTACTAACCATGATATGCTCAGTGTTATCTCTATATTATCACTGAATTTTGGCAAGGAAGAAAATGACTTGTGGTGAAAATTACAATTGGAAATTATGCTCTTCATAAGTTTTAATTTTCTGTTGATGTGCAGAATGCGAGTGTATAAAAGGTCAACAAACTCGAATCAAAGATAGATCTAAACTTTGATGTTCTTTGCCTAGATCTATAATCTAGACTCTAGATCAACCTCTCATGTGTAGATCCATCTCTGAATAATATCTTATTAATCTTCTTAATGTACAACAGATAATTTTGGTTCATGTTTGTACTTTGCCTCATTCCATGAGTGTAATCAGTGTGTCATTAGCAGTCTTTTACTGTATGAGAACAACGTTTCTTAATCAACTGATGTAAATTTGATTCCTGATCTGATCTGTATTATACTTTCAGAAGTTATTACTCTAAATATATTATTATTATTAACTGAAGTCATTACTATTAATTTATTATTTTTCTCATTTTGATGTAAACTTGAACCACAATAAAATCCAGGCTAGACAATGGATGGGAAATGCTGTTATTTGTCGCAGTGTCATCATGGTGACAATTTTCAATCAAATATTTGTAGTCCAGTCACAAAATTCTCTTGGGTGTTTCTTTCTGTTTTTGTTGTATGAGACTGATTGTAGAAAAATGAGGCAAAGCATGCAAAGACATAGTCTGCACAATATGAGCTGTCATTATTGTATCCCTGTGATCAACAACCAAAGTGATATCATTTTGGGCTATTAATGAATATTTCAGGTAGAATATTCAAGTGAAGCTACTGTGCTAGTTCAGGCCTTGAAAGTACAGTGAACAGAAATACCATGAATTAGATGCACCCCAAGTAATACTGCCCACACATAGTAAATACATGTCCAACTCAAATTACCTGTCTTGGAACATGTCATGTGTCAAAGTTGTGTGGTTACAACAACATTTGGCATACAATATAGTGTTCTGAATCCTCTAGGTTTTTGGATGTGGCTTCCAAGATTGATTCCTGGAAGTCCAGGACATCCTGTTTTTGCAAATTAGTGGAAGAGCTGACATAAGCCATCAGTACATAGTACTGCATGAATTTAAGTATTTTTGCATGAAAAGAAATAAGGAATTAAATGCTAAATGTTGCCATGTCATTTCTCCTAGTTGAAGATCATGTACTTATTATTACTTTTATTTTTTAAAACTTGAGAAGAATGTGTAAGTAAAATGTAGAAACCAGGGGGTCAAAAAGTAAGTAGTTTTATAATTACAGTTAAGCAGAAAATTACACTAGTAAACTAGTCAAACATTGTTAAGTGAACCTAAATAATTATACACAACCCAAAAGTCATAGTTATTATGAATATTTAAAAAATAGTATAAAAGGTAATCATTGAATACTTATACTTAGCCAAAATATACATGTATCAGCATAACACTAACACAGTGTTGTGATAAAATTCAAAGTGAATCAATAAAAATATTGAATAATTATATTGATTTGTTATTCATTTATTGAAATTCCAATTTATTATTATCTGTATGAAATGGAAAATAAAAATAATGTCAGTGTTAATAATCAAATCGTAGAGTGAAAATATCAGTATAACTGAATTGGAGGGTTATAGTTTCTCATTCCATGCTTTGAAGTCATGTTTCAACTGTATGTTATTATAAGTTGTTGAATTCATTGAAAAACTGTGTTCCTTGTGTAATGCTGTATGATACATATTTTTTAGAGTAATTTATTTTCCAATTTTAAAGAGAAAATAGTAGTGTTGTATTTTATTAGTACGGTAGGGGTAGGTCGGTGGGGAGGCGTAAGGGACC